TGTATTGGAAAAAGTTTTTTTTTTTTCCCCTCCCTGTTCCGGGCCTCCGGAAAATCACTGGGAACTGGAGTTGGATCGGAGCCCGCAGCTCAGGGGGAGGGGAGCGGGGCGGGGTCCTGAGTGGGGGAGGCCCCTGCTCCGGCCAGCCCCTCCTTTAATGGGGGTTGTGGGAAGCTGGGGGAGGGGATGCCTGGGCCCTTTGTTCTGCCTTTCGTGATGGCCGGGCGCCTCTGCCCCCCAGCCTGTGGTTCCGTGGGCCTTCATTGGTCTCGGCCCAAGTTTTCGCCCTGAGTCTCTGTACCCCTCTTTCTGGTTTTTGCCCCGCCCTGTTTCCCACTTTCGGATCTTCATCTGCCCTCTTTCTGAGTCTTTGACCCGCTTCTCTTTTGGGGGGGTGTCCCAGTTCCCCTCTCTGGATCTCTGTCCCCCTCTTTCTTTCTGGCTCCCTGTCTCCTCTCTCTCAGGCCCTCTCTCTGAATCTCTCTGTCCACTCCTCTCTGGGTCTCTTCTCAGAGCCCTCTCCTCTTTATCCAGGAGCTGTTGCTTAGGCCCTGCCCTTGTTCTGGTGGGCAGGGGGGCACCCACACATCCCTCTGCTGCATGGAGGCTGCCACTTCTGTCTTATTTACAACCTGGAGTTCGTGCCCCAATGTTCAGCCCTCACAGTTCCTAGGCAGCCTTTTGGGGATTACTCAAGGCTTCCTCGTAATCCAGATCCCCCCGGAAACTCAGAGGAGAGCACACCTACCCAGCTTCACCAGCAACCCACCTTCTTCTACAGAATCTAGGGTTCTAGGTCCCCCAACCCCCTCCTCTCTTCTCCCCAAGAACCTGCTCTTTTATCTCCTTCTTCGGACCCAGGAGACTGAGCCCCTAGCTCCTCAGACCCAGGGTTTCAGAGCTCAGAGCCCCTTTCTCCCTCATATCTAGGAGGTCCAAGCCCCCAGCACCCTCCCCTCATAGAGCCAGGGGTCTGGGCCCCTAGCCCTCCCTGTCTCTGTCTTGGAAAGGAGTCCAGGCCCCAGCACTCACACCCCGGGTCTCTCTGTGTGGGTCCTTGGAGTCCTGGTGAGCTCTTGTGTTTCTGCAGGCCCAGATGGGAGAACCCCGGGCTGGGGCCCCGCTGGAAGATGGCAGTGGCTGGACAGGCAGCGAGGCGGGCAGTGAGGAGGGCACGGGTGGCAGCGAGGGGGCCGGAGGAGACGGGGGCCCAGATGCGGAGGGTGTGTGGAGCCCAGACATTGAGCAGAGCTTCCAGGAGGCTCTGGCCATCTACCCACCCTGTGGCCGGCGGAAGATCATTCTGTCCGATGAAGGCAAGATGTACGGTGAGTCCACTCGCCCCTGGTCCTTGGCTCCCAGCAAGGAATAGCAATTTATTCAGTAGCAGTGGTGGAGCTCTAAGGAAGCCTCAGTAGCATCATGGATTAGGCGCTGGGCTGCTAACCCTAAGGCTGGCAGTTCAAACCCACCCACCTTTCTATGAGAGGAAAATGAGGCCGTCTGCTGCCATCAATGTGTACAGCCTCTGAGACCCACTGCGGTGGTTCTACCCTGCCCAATGGACACTAACTCCACGGCTGTGGGGTTTGAAAAGGCGGTTAAGCGACTGATGGAATCCCTCAGGGAGTCCATGGGAGAGAGGCCAAGCAACGTGCTCCTGGAGCGATGACCGCCATTCCTCTTTGCCACAGGGGTGGCCATGAGGTAGACTGGGCGGACCCCACAAGGCCCAACATCAACAGCACTGGTCTTGGAGCCTGGGGGGACTCAGGTGCTGCTAACCTAAAGGTTGGTGGTTTGAAGCTCCTGGCCAGCTCCTTTCGTAAAGTTTACTCACTGCCGTTGAGTCCGTTCTGACTCACAGCGACCCTATAGGTCAGAGTAGAGCTACCTTTTGTGGGTTTCCCAGACTGTAACTCTTTATGGGAGTGGAAAAGCCTCCTCTCTCTCCGGAGGAGCCACTGGTGGTTTTGAACTGCTGAGCTTGCGGTTAGTAGCCCAACCTGCCACCCGGACAATAAAAGCGTACTCTGACACACAAGAAGTATG